AGCAGCGGGTCAGCGCGGCGGCGAGGATTACCGAGGCCGGGATTTCCGTCGGGCGCGGATTAGGAGCCAGCGGAGCCTCTCCTGAGTGGATCTGAGGGGATTGCTGCTCCTAATCAATGTAAATGAGGCTCCCCCAGGGCCACCCTTTACGGCATTAACGAACTAACGGGATTAGCCAGAGCAGGGTGAGAAATCCTGGCTCCGAGCTGCCGCGCGTGCCAGGGCCGTGGTGGGCGGCTGCGGTGGGTCGGCTCTGGGCTGCTGGAGGCACGGAATGCCAGGGAATGCCGGGGTTCCGTGCATACCCAGCGGCTGCATGCCGCGGGGACCGTGCTGCCTGCAGGACCCCGATGCCCCTCTGGGTCTGTCTGTCCATCGCGCTGTGTCTGTCTCCTCCTTGAGGCTGCTGGCACATTCCCAGCAGGACCTGGCAGTGCCGTCACGTGTGCCTGTGCTCTTGCCCAGCCCACCCGTGCATGTGGCTTGACAACAGCTCTTCTCCCACCCCAGTCCACTCGTGCCCCCGGGGATGTCGATTCTGCTCCACAGGTCCGTGAGGCTGCACAGCCCCGCTGCGTCGGGGGCTCCGCACAGAGGCTGAGCAGGGGGTGCCGCTGCTCCTGGAACCCCCACTCTGCAACTCGCTCCTTGTCCAGCCTCCGGGTCCCCGTGGAGGAGGGGGATGGTGTCTGGGGAGGTGCAGGGCGTGTCTCTGACCCCCCCATCCCCTCCTTCCCTTGCAGCCTGCGGCGGGAGGGCTACACAGTGCAGGTGAACGTCAACGACTACCTGGACATCTACTGCCCGCACTACAACGCCTCGGTGCCCGAGCACCGGCTGGAGCAGTACGTGCTGTACATGGTGAACGCGGAGGGCTATCGCACCTGCAACACCAGCCAGGGCTTCAAGCGCTGGGAGTGCAACCGGCCCCACGCGCCCCACAGCCCCATCAAGTTCTCGGAGAAGTTCCAGCGCTACAGCGCCTTCTCACTGGGCTACGAGTTCCGCGCGGGGCAGGAGTACTACTACATCTGTACGTGGGGGCGCCGGGGCGGGACCCCCACAGCCCCCCCAGCCCCGGCCGGGTCACCCCGTGTCCCTCCCTGGGTTGTCCCCCCACCCTGTTGGGCCCCTCTGCACCCCCAGCAAGGACCACCCCGCACAGCTGGCGTCCCCCTGCACCTCCCACAGCTGGGCAGCTGTTCCCCCCTCCACAAGAGTGGGCACCCGGAGCTTTGGGATGGGGGTCTGGGAGGGGTTGATGGTGCGGGGGGGGTGCATGATGTGTGGGAGAGATGGGAGCATGGGGAAAGATGGGGGACAGCATGGGTGTGTGGGTGGAGGTGCTGGTGCAGGATGGGGGTGCTGGGGGGTGATGATGTAGGGTGGAGGATGCAGGATTGGGGTACTAGTGCCAGATTGGGGTGCTGGTACGGGCTGTTGGCACAGGATTCGGGTGCTGGTGCAGGCGTGGGATTTGGGGTGCTGCTGCATTACCCCAGCCCAGAGCACACCCCTGGGCAGGACCAGACACCCCCATGCCCAGACCCACTGCACCTCGGGGTGCCCGGGGATAGGGTCACTGCCACGGAGCCGCCCCCAGCCCTCTCTTGCTTTGCAGCCACACCAACACACAACCACCGCCGGGCCTGCCTGAAGATGAAGGTGTTTGTCTGCTGCGCCTCCAGTAAGTACCTCTGTGCCCACCCTGGGGGCTGTGGGCGAGCGGGGGGCGGCGTGGCCGGCTGGCAGGTCCCCTCTCCCTCCCTGGGGGGGCTGCAGCACAGGG